CTATGACATCACAAAGATGTAAGTTTTACGCTTTGTCATCACAAAGCGAGGAGCATTCCGCTATTATATCAAAATTCCTATATGACATCATAAAGATGTGGGCATTGTTCTATGACATCACGTTTCACATTCTGCTGTGACATCATATTGATATAAGAATTCTGCTATGACATCACAAACATTACAGCATTCCGCTATGACATCACAAAGATGTGAGCATTCAGCTGTGATGTAATTTGCATTCTGCAGTGACTTTACAAATGGATGTGAAAATTTGGCTATGACATTTCATTCCACATTGCACATTCCGCTGTGACATCACAATCATGTAAGAATTCTGCTATGACATCACAAACATTTGAGCATTTCGCTATAACATCACAAACATTTCAGCGTTCTGCTATAACATCGAATTCTGCATTCGGCTGTGACAACACAAAAATTTGCGCATTTTGCTCTAACATTGAATTCTGCATTTGGCTGTGACATCACATTTGGCTATGACATCACAATTGATAAAGAGGGAGAAAGACTTTGATCATTTATGAGACATATAAGACAAGACCTGCAGAAGATGATGAATTTAAAGTTGACTTTTTTTCATAAAAATCTAGTACAAAACATGAATGTTACATATAATGTAATGTAACACTGATTGGAGCCATTCTGTTCCATAGTGTCTACCTTTGCTTTTAAAGGTCCAGTATGTAGGGTTTTTCCAATCCAATCCAATCGAACTTTATTTCTTAAGCACTTTAAAACAACCAAAGTTGACCAAAGTGCTGTACAGGAGGATAAATAAGACATCATAAATAAAAGATATAACAGCTCACATGAGGCACAAAATAACATATAATACAAGAATAAAATGAAAAGACATAAATAAAAATAATAACCATGCAAGTAAAAATAACAAATACAAAAAATAAATCAAGTAAATAAAGTCGACATCTTACTAGGTGTCAAAGGCCACAGAGAAGAGATGGGTTTTAAGACTGGTTTTAAAAACAGACAGAGAAGAGGACTGTTTAATGTGCAGAGGCAGATCATTCCATAATTTAGGAGCAGACACAGCAAAGGCACGGTCCCCTCTGAGCTTCCGCTTAGTTTTAGGCACACTCAGGAGCAGCTGATCATCTGACCTGAGGGGGTGGACGGGTAAATAGGGGTGTAGAAGCTCAGATAGGTAGGGCGGGGCAAGACCATTCAGGGATTTAAAAGCAAATAAAATAATTTTAAAATGGATCCTAAATTGATAGGCAGCCAGTGGAGTGAGGCTAAAATGGGGGAAATGTGCTCATGTTTACATGTGCCAGTTAAAAGACGTGCAGCAGCATTCTGTACCATCTGAAGACGGGTGATAGAGGACCCACTAACCCCCACATACAGTGCATTACAGTAATCCAGCCGAGTGGTAACAAAGGTGTGGATTACCGCTGCCTTGATAGAATTGGCTTTATTTTGGCCAGGTGCCTCAAATGGAAAAAGCTTGATTTGACAACAGCCTTGATCTGAAAACTTATGCTCAGGGTCCACTTTAACCCCTAGGTTTGTGATGCTAGGTATAATATACTGGGCCAAGGAACCCAGATCTACAGGGGGGATCCCTGTGGTGCCACCAAAAACCATCACTTCTGTCTTTTTATCATTGAAATTTAAAAAGTTCAGAGTCATCCAGGCCTTTATGTCATCGAGGCACTTAAGTAGCAGTCTGACAGAGTATTCATTTTTCTTTTTAAGAGGCACATAAATCTGACTGTCGTCTGCATAACAGTGGAATGAAAAGCCGTGCTTCCTAAGTATGGAACCAAGTGGGAGCAAATAGAGAGAGAAAAGGAGAGGGCCAAGAACTGAGCCCTGTGGCACCCCACACGAGAGAGGAGCAGAGGAGGATACAGAGTCACCTAGGCTGACACAGAAAGTTCGATCAGCCAAGTACGACCTGAACCACTCCAGTGCTATGCCCCTGATGCCCACCCACTGCTTCAAACGTGAGATCAGTATTTCATGATCCACTGTGTCAAATGCAGCAGTTAAATCTAAAAGCACAAGGATAACACAGTCACCAGAGTCAGTAGCTAAAAAGATATCATTAAAAACTCTTAAGAGAGCTGATTCTGTGCTGTGCACGGTTTTAAAACCGGATTGGAAAACCTCTAGAATATTATGTTCTTCCCGAAAGGCCATTGATTGACTGTGCACAATCTTCTCTAGGATTTTTGAAAGGAAAGGCAGTTTGGAGATAGGCTTGAAATTAGCAAGAACTGCAGGATCTAGAGCAGGTTTTTTAATCAGAGGTTGTACTACTGCATGTTCAAAATTTTCAGGGACCACACCTGAGGTCAGACTGCTATTTATGACTGCAATAACAGATGGTCCTACAGTGGGGAAAACCTCCTTAAATAGTCGAGGCGGGACAGCATCATTTGGAGAACCTGAGGGCTTCAAATGACCAACAACCTCCTGTAAAAAGGAAAAAGTCACAGGCTCAAACTGGTCAAAAAAAGCAGAGCAGGGGACAGAGATTGAGGGGTCTGAAGCTGAAGGTGAGATTTGAGCCCTAATTGAAGTGACCTTATCAATAAAAAAGTGAAGGACGTTTTCACACACAGCAGGGGACTCCTCCATACAGGCAGTCTGTGGGGCATTAAGAAGTGAGTCAATAGCGTTAAACAAAACACGAGGCTTGTGACAGTTCTTTTAGCATCTTTCACAGTTTTTTGATAATGACGCCAGCAGTTCCTTAACATTTGAAAAGACACCTGCAGTTTGTCCTTCTTCCACTTGCGCTCAGCTCTACGGCACTCACGTCTGACCGCATGAGTCATGTCATTTAAAGTTGACTTTTTTTCATAAAAATCTAGTACAAAACATGAATGTTACATAAAATGTAATGTAACACTGATTGGAGCCATTCTGTTCCATAGTGTCTACCTTTGCTTTTAAAGGTCCAGTATGTAGGGTTTTTCCAATCCAATCCAATCGAACTTTATTTCTTAAGCACTTTAAAACAACCAAAGTTGACCAAAGTGCTGTACAGGAGGATAAATAAGACATCATAAATAAAAGATATAACAGCTCACATGAGGCGCAAAATAACATATAATACAAGAATAAAATGAAAAGACATAAATAAAAATAATAACCATGCAAGTAAAAATAACAAATACAAAAAATAAATCAAGTAAATAAAGTCGACATCTTACTAGGTGTCAAAGGCCACAGAGAAGAGATGGGTTTTAAGACTGGTTTTAAAAACAGACAGAGAAGAGGACTGTTTAATGTGCAGAGGCAGATCATTCCATTATTTAGGAGCAGACACAGCAAAGGCACGGTCCCCTCTGAGCTTCCGCTTAGTTTTAGGCACACTCAGGAGCAGCTGATCATCTGACCTGAGGGGGGCGGACGGGTAAATAGGGGTGTAGAAGCTCAGATAGGTAGGGCGGGGCAAGACCATTCAGGGATTAAACAAAGGCCAGGGCTCAGATTTAGTTTTAGGCTGCATGGATTTTAATGGAGCCACAGTGTCTAAAACAGTTTGGCAGGTGGAGTGAAACCATGAGCTAAGCTCCTCTGTACTGCATACAGACTCAGGAAAGATGGAGTTCTGATTGAAAGCAACCGAGAACTGAACAGCAGTGGAAGGGTAAATAATGCGACAGCGCTGAGCAGCAGCGCGAGGTTTAACTGTATGACAGGCAAGGGCAGCCTCAAATAATACAGGCATATGGTCAGAAAACACTGCGTCACATATCTCTAGGTTAAAAACAGGCAAACCATATGATAAGACAAGATCAAGTGTGTGTCCGTGTTCTTGTGTGGGTCCAGACACAGATTGCACAAGATTAAAAGAATCAATGAGGTTTAAAAAACCCTTTGCCATTGGCTTATCTGGACAACACACATGAACATTAAAATCCCCAACAATAAGAACACGGTCATATTTAGGCATGATTTCAGCCAAGTCATTTAAAAAGTCCTTATTGTACTTGGGAGGCCAATAGACCACAGCACACAACACTGTGTGAGAGCCACCAAGCTCAAATAAGCTCAGTTCAAAGCTGGTGAAAGAGGATGACAGCAATAGCTGCTTACATTTATAATGACTCTTATAGACGGTCGCTATTCCTCCTCCTTGGCCCGACGTCCGCGAGGAGTTAAAGTAGCAGCAATCATGGGGTAAAAGTTCAGTGAAAGCGCTGGATTCACCAACACTCAGCCATGTCTCAGTCACACAGAGGAAATCCAATCCTCGGGACGTGAAGAAGTCCTTTAAGACAAAGTCTTGTTCGCTAGTGATCTAACATTTACCAGGACAATCCTGGCAGGAGCCGGCAGGGCCGCGGCGTTGGCTGACCGGGGAGCCCGACACAGAGGCCGTAAGTCGCGGTGATTCACCCCGCGCCGGCGGGGATGAGGAGAGCAGGGGGTGACGTTGGAGTCCGGCATCTGCTCGATGATTGCAGGGATGTAGGGTTTAAGCCTCCTCTTCTTCATCCTCCGTTTAACCCCCGCTCTGCAGCCTCGCCGTCTCCTCCTCAGCTCCTCCGGTATGGAGGGTCTCTCTCCAGTCAGGATGCTCGGGTACCTCAGGGCGATCATCTGGTCGCGGGTGTAAACAATGCGACTCTCCGTCGCCATGGAGACCAGCGTAAACAAAAAATAAAAAGTGCTCCAAAACGCCGAAAAAGTATCTAGGCGACGCGAACAAAATAACAAGAAAGTAAGAAAGCAAGAAAACTGTTAAAAATAGCAAAAAAAACACAGGCTAAAAACACAGAAAACACACTAAAACTACAACAATGATAGGAGCTGCAATGAGAGGCTGCCGTTGTCGCCGGCGCCATTCTGGAACCCATTTAGTGGCATCTTGCGGTGTAGTTGCAGATAGCAACTCTGTTGCTTCACCTTCCCCTTGCAAGGGCAAACTGCAATGGCTGAAAGCACTCCCAACCTAAACCAGTTCTTGGTTTGTCACTTTTGGGCTAATGTAGAAACAGTCAGGGAGTAACAGAAGACTTAAAGAAAGTCAAACTTTGGGCTACTGGGCGGACTATCTCCTTGACTGTGAAGGTTTGTAAATCAGTCCTATTTTTCACAACTAGTTGAGAAATCACATTGCCAAGATGTATCTGAACAATTAATTTTTTTTCTTTGCAGAAGGTCAGGCTGCTGTGTCTGTGGAAGATGTTTTGATGTTTGCAACTGGACTGACCTCACTTCCTCCATCTGGATTGGAACCATTACCACGAATAGAGTTCCTGGATGACTCTCCATTCCCAATGGCAAATACATGTTCAAACACATTGAAATTACCACTCCTAGACGCATACACTGTGTTTAAGACACAAATGGATTTCGGACTTCAAAATTCCCCAGGATTTGGCTGTTTATAAGCCATGGAATGACCCCTAGAGGCTCTGAAAAGGTTAAAAATAATGTAAAGACATGTGAGCATGTTTTTTCTCACAGTTAACATTTTGGCCATTTTGTTTTAGGCAAAATAAACAAAAGTCTTTCAAGAAGTTTCTGTACTTACAAAACAAAAATGTAATAAATACTCATTAAGTGTATTTGATTCATTTATTTCAACCAAAAAACTGTGGGTGACATTCAGACCTTTAGTGTTCAGACAGACAGCAGTGTTCCACCACTACAAATCCGATTTCAGGGCATATAAGAAAGATCTTAATCACTTTGAAAAAAAAATAGCAGGAAAAAAAAAAAAGCCTCAATGAGCAAGCACTTGGTTACTCCCTTTTTGATTGTTTTATAGCTGAGCAATTTCTTTTAGCTTTGTGTACAGGTCTGTTGCAGACTCCCAGTTGTCTGGTTTTTGTAGTTGATTGCGCTCCATAGCAAAGTCCAAGTACTCCTGCATGTTTGGGTCCCCACATGTGACTATTGGCAGGCTTGCCTCAGGAAAGCCATCCAACTCAGCTTGTTCAATTTCAAATCCACAGTCTCTGGAGCCAAATCTATAGAAGACGTAACAGCATTTATTTAGTTACTTTTTCAGTTAAAAATAAGAGAGAAACAAAGAAGTCTCAATCTATCACCAACATTTTACCTGTGTGGTAAGTAGTACAGTTCATTGGGCACTCCTCCTGGACATGACGCTGTTCTGGAAGGGCGAATCCTGTGACTGTTCCACAGTCTCACACACTCATCCAAGTCTTTCTGAAGAACATCACCATAGCAAAATCTCAATAGGCACTGATGCTCATGACTCCCATTGAAGTATACGGCATCTCTGAGGTCTGCAAATAACTTCATCCAGAACTGAGATCTAAAGAAATTGATATATCATATATGATGATATCATGATGTGTGTGTATATGTATACAGTATATATATTATTACATTACTTTATGAAAGCCACTTACCTTCCCTTTCTAAATATGGACCACCAGGACTCAATGCGCTGGTTATTCGTGGATGAGCCATACATGTGGCTGGACGCTCCAGAGTAGTAGTCATGGTGATGGTGGCGTAGGGTACACTGAATTGCAGCCATAATGCCGTTCTCCGTGCCGCAATCAGTTCTCAGTCTCATCGGGATCACACCAGGGTTTCGCACACATGACAGGAAATTGTGAGTGATCACTGTTGGGTTATTATTTGTTGGTCCACATTCAAGCCACACTACTTTACGTGAAAATCCATCTATGCATCCTGACAGGGCCAAACCGAATGGTTTAAGCTTATCGTAGCCATCAGCATGCCACATGTAGTTCGGCCCCATTGAATGGTCGGTTCTTCTTACAAACCTTCTGCATGCTCTCTTCTCGCACCCTCGAGGGTTAAGCTCCCGGAGCAAATTCATCACATCATCTCTCCTCACTCGAAGGTTGTACTTTTGTTTAAGTACCTGCCACATTGTTCGGTAGCCAAACAGTTGTCCAGGTCCACGGAGTTCCAACCTGATGGCATTAATTACGCCGTTTGGAGAGGAATAATTCTTTCTGCGGTACAACCCGGCTTGACTCAGTGTACTTTTTAGAGTCCGCAAGCTGATGTTTATATTGTGTAAACTTGACAGCATGTCCACGATTGCGTCGTACGAGTGTCCCTGTGATGGCCCAAGCCACACAGGGTAACAGCCAGCAATGAGGTCTGTCCTGGTGGAAGAAAGGCATGGCCAAGGGTGGAGGATAGTTATATCCTGTGGCCTACCAATCAAGCCGTACCATGTGCTGCCATGTTGGAGGGGGGATTTTGGGTTTAGTTTGTTTTACTTGTAGTAGTTGTAGTTGGCATCCATTTTGTTTTCACCTTGTGGGTAAATTGGTTTGGCCAAGCCACTATATATGTTCCCTTGTGTCTCATTCAGGCAGGTCAGTTTGTTTAGTTCATATTCTGTCTGTTGTATGCGGTTTTGAGTATAGTTATATTTTGTTGACCTCTTTTATAGGCCTAAGATGTTAAATTCTTCGTTTCTATTGTTTGGTATTTTTGGGTAGATAAAAAAAACCCTATTTTTCAACAAACTCCTGGTTTTCCTCATTGCTTGACTGTTTGGTCCCTGACAGTCCCTCATTAAAATATTGTGTGCAATAATGCAGCATGTCTGGTCCTTCCGTCTGCTCTGTATCCTTTAAAAACTCCAGAGACCATCCACACGAAACACAAAACCTTAATAACTGACCCAAATGGTTTCCACAAAACAGGAAAAACATCATGAAACTCCATATAAACCGCACAACTCGCTCCATACAGTCTTTCCACAACAAACAGCTCACTAAATCACTTCCGGGTCAGATCCGGCGTTTAGTACATTCCCCTTCCGTACGATTCTGACTTTGTAAATTTGTTTCGGAGTTTGTAAATTTGTTTTGCACTTACCAGCCACCGTAAAGAATTCTGCTATGACATCACAAAAATGTGAGCACTCCGCAATGAAATCACAAATTTCAGCATTCTGCTATAACATCAAATTCTGCATTCGACTGTGACATCACAAACATTTGCACATTTTGCTCTGACAGAATTCTGCATTCGGCTGTTACATCACATTCTGCTATGACATCACAATTGAAAAAGCAATGGCTGGAAAACTTGTGAAAATTGCAAAGACTCCCAACCTAAACCAGTCCTTGGTTTGTCCCTTTTGGGCTAATGTAGAAACATGGCAGAATACATGGGCGGCATTTGTAGATGAAAAGTTCAATCCAACGTCACAAAAGTATAAGAATAACTGTATGAAGGTTATTATACACTACTGAGATCAGACATATGAATATTATTTTCCATTCTGCCATTAGATCCTCCTAAATGTTACATACTGTACCTTTAATACTTACGTATACATTAATAATTTTTTTATGCGAAAACATGTTAAATACATTACATTGTTCCGCTCTGACATCACATGAATGTAAGAATTCTGCTATGACATCACAAACATTACATCATTCCGCTATGACATCACAAACATTACATCATTCCGCTATGACATCACAAAGATGTGAGTATTACGCTATGACATAACAATTTCCGTATGACATCACAAAGACGTAAGCATTCTGCTATGACATAACAAAGATGTGAGCATTCCGCTGCGATGTAATCTGCATTCTGCAGTGACTTCACAAATGGATGTGAGAATTTGGCCATGTCATTACATTCCAAATTCCGTATTCCGCTGTGAATTCACAATCCACATTCTGCTATCACATTACAATTCAATTGAAAGTGTACACTCCATTTTGACATAACAATTGGAAGTGTACATTCCGCTGTGAGATCACATTTTGCATTCCTTTATGACATCACAAAGATATGAGAATTTTGCTATGACATCACAAAGATGTAAGTAAGTTTTCCGCTGTGACATCACAAAGCCATGAGCATTCCACTATTACATCAAAATTCCTATATATCACAAAGATGTGAGCATTATTCTATGACATCACATTCCACATTTCGCTGTGAAATCTCATTAATGTAAGAATTCTGATATGACATCACAAACATTTGAGCATTCTGCTGTGACATCACAAATATTTCAGCATTCTGCTATAACATCGAATTCTGCATTCGGATGTGACATCACAAACATTTGCGCATTTTGCTGTAATATCGAATTCTGCATTTGGCTGTGACATCACATTCCGCTATGACATCACAATTGAAAAAGAGGGAGAAAGACTTGGATCATTTATGGGACATATAAGACAAGAACTACAAAAGATGATTAATTTAAAGTTGACTTTTTTCCATAAAAATCTAGTACGTAACATGAATGTTATAACTAATGTACAATGGCACTGATGAGAGCCATTCTGTTCCATAGTGTCTACTTTTGCTTTTAAAGATCTAGTATGTGGGATTGAGTGGCATCTTGCGGTGAATTTGCAGATTGCAACTCTGTTGCTTTACCTTCCCCTTGCAAGGGCAAACTGCAATGGCTGAAAGCACTCCCAACCTAAACCAGTCCTTGGTTTGTCTCTTTTGGGCTAATGTAGAAACATGGCAGAATCCATGGGTGGCATTTGTACATGAATAGAGTTCAATCTAAGGTCACAAAAGTATAACAATAACTGCATGAAGGTTATTATACACTACTGATATCAGACATATAAACATTATGTTCCATTCTGCCATTAGATCATCCTAAATGTTACATACTGGACCTTTAACCTCTTTAGGTGCCAGGTTTTATTTTGAAAAATACTAGATTTTGACATCTAAATTTTAGAAGGCTCTGGCTTGAAAGTGGTTTGAGATAGAGACAAAGTGTAAATGAGACAAATATTGAGAATGACCTAAAGTTTATCTAGGGAGTAAATTTCTCTATCTAATTTGCATATTATGGCGTCATATGGCGGCGGCCATACTGGATTATGTAATTTCCATGAAATACCTGATATTTTGAAAGAGAGTTGAACTTATTTCATCAAATTCACCCCCCTCCATCCATTTGTTATGTTGTCCACATATCAAATGAACAGGGAAAAAGTAAATTAGAAGCCAACAGTCGTAAACTAGAACTATTACTATAGCACAAAACTCATATAAACAGTAGCCGGTTTTTATGATTTATCCCCCCACTTTTTTAACCCCCCTTTTTTCATAAAATCTAGTATGTAACATGAATGTTATATATAGGGTTGCACCGATCCACATTTTTTCACTTCTGATCCGATCCCGACACCTGAATTTGGATATCGGCCGATACGATACTATTCCGATACCAGAGCTGTGTTTGCTTTAATATTATTATCATTGTTGATTTTATATGAGGCTGAAATAAACTTCTCTCAACACGGAAGTATGATATGTACATATGTATGTATGTACGTACAGTGGGTACGGAAAGTATTCAGACCCCTTTGAATTTTTCACTCTTTGTTTCATTGCAGCCATTTGCTAAAATCAAAAAAGTTCATTTTATTTCTTATTAATGTACACTCAGCACCCCATCTTGACAGAAAAAAACAGAAATGTAGAAATTTTTGCAAATTTATTAAAAAAGAAAAACTGAAATATCACATGATCATAAGTATTCAGACCCTTTGCTCAGTATTGAGTAGAAGCACCCTTTTGAGCTACTACAGCCATGAGTCTTCTTGGGAATGATGCAACAAGTTTTTCACACCTGGATTTGGGGATCCTCTGCCATTCTTCCTTGCAGATCCTCTCCAGTTCTGTCAGGTTGGATGGTGAACGTTGGTGGACAGCCATTTTCAGGTCTCTCCAGAGATGCTCAATTGGGTTTAGGTCAGGGCTCTGGCTGGGCCAGTCAACAATGGTCACAGAGTTGTTCCAAAGCCACTCCTTTGTTATTTTAGCTGTGTGCTTAGGGTCATTGTCTTGTTGGAAGGTGAACCTTCGGCCCAGTCTGAGGTCCTGAGCACTCTGGAAGAGGTTTTCTTCCAGGATATCTCTGTACTTGGCCGCATTCATCTTTCCTTCAATTGCAACCAGTCGTCCTGTCCCTGCAGCTGAAAAACACCCCCCATAGCCTGATGCTGCCACCACCATGTTTCACTGTTGGGATTGTATTGGGCAGGTGATGAGCAGTGCCTGGTTTTCTCCACACATACCGCTTAGAATTAACGCCAAAAAGTTCAATCTTGGTCTCATCAGACCAGAGAATCTTCTTTCTCATAGTCTGGGAGTCCTTCATGTGTTTTTTGGCAAACTCTATGCAGGCTTTCATATGTCTTGCACTGTGATCTTTGGGTTCTTCTTTACCTCTCTCACCAAGGCTCTTCTCCCACGATTGCTCAGTTTGGCTGGACGGCCAGATCTAGGAAGAGTTCTGGTCGTCCCAAACTTCTTCCATTTAAGGATTATGGAGGCCACTGTGCTCTTAGGAACCTTGAGTGCTGCAGAAATTCTTTTGTAACCTTGGCCAGATCTGTGCCTTGCCACAATTCTGTCTCTGAGCTCCTTGGGCAGTTCCTTCGACCTCATGATTCTCATTTGCTCTGACATGCACTGTGAGCTGTAAGGTCTTATATAGACAGGTGTGTGCCTTTCCTAATCAAGTCCAATGAGTTTAATTAAACACAGCTGGACTCCAATGAAGGAGCAGAACCACCTCAAGGAGGATCAGAAGAAATGGACAGCATGTGAGTTAAATATGAGTGTCACAGCAAAGGGTCTGAATACTTATGACCATGTGATATTTCAGTTTTCCTTTTTTAATAAATTTGCAAAAAATTCTACATTTCTGTTTTTTTCGGTCAAGATGGGGTGCTGAGTGTACATTAATGAGAAATAAAATGAACTTTTTTGATTTTAGCAAATGGCTACAATGAAACAAAGAGTGAAAAATTTAAAGGGGTCTGAATACTTTCCGTACCCACTGTATGTCCCAAAAGGCAACTTGAGGCAAGGTCAGAAAAGGAAGTCAGAAAAACAGGAAATCCTGTTAACAGGAAAAATCCCATTCTGAAAACAAATATGCAACTGTAAGGGTTTCAAATTTATTCTCATGTCAATATTCATTAAATTCCCAAAATGTCAAATATTTGAGTCTTGAAATATAAGAAAAGTGCAATAAGTGTAAACATCTTAAACACACACTATCAACAAAACAGTGTGCATCTGAACAGCACAAATC